TTTTTTACATATGCAAAATGCATTTTTTAATATCAGAGCTGAAAAGTATGTTATTCAAATTGTTTAGCAAAATTTTGCTGTTGTTTATGTGTATTACCATAATAAATGTATGTTTATACTGTTTAAAAACAGCCTCTGTTTTACACAGTGTGGTGGGTTGCCAGTTGGGCTTGTTTTGGGCTAGTTTTCGTAGAGCTGGTTGCTTGTTTCTATTGCGAGATCTGGCAACACTGTTCACAGGGAGTCTGTTAACTCTGACCTACAGGAAGTCTGCTAACCTGATCCAATTCAATTCAGTTAAATTCAGTTAAAATAAATTCAGTTTATTTTTATAACGCCAAGTTACAACAGAAGTCATCCCAGGGCATTGAACAGAAACATTCATATATATAACAAGCCAGTCCTAACTACAGGATTTATCCAAAAGGAAAGACTTAATCCCAGTCAAAACTGGACAATGTGTCAGCCTCATGGGCAGAAACTGGAAGTTGGTTCCACAAGAGAGGAGCCTGATAACTGAAAGACCCTGATCCACTCTGCAAACCCTGACCTACAGGAAGTCTGCTAACAGTGACCCACATAAAGTCTGCTAACACTGACCTAAAGGAAGTCTGATAACCCTGATCTACAGGAGGTCTGCTAACACTAACCCACAGGAACTCTACAAACCCTGACCTACACAAAGTTTGCTAACACTGACCCACAGGAGGTCTACAAACCCTGACCTACAGGAAGTTTGATAACACTGACCCACAGGAGGTCTACAAACCCTGACCTACAGGAAGTCTGATAACACTGACCCACAGGAGGTCTACAAACCCTGACCTGACCTACAGGAAGTCTGCTAACCTTGAGTCTGCTAACCTTGAGTCTGCTAACCTTGAGTCTGCTAACTTTGACCCATACAAATCTTCAACAGAGTGATTGCTATGTTTGTTACGGCTAAGATTTTAATCTGTGTTAATTTATTGGGTTAAAAAATATATGAGGTAGACGTCCATGGAACATTTAATGTGTTTAAGCTCCAAGTTGACCCAGGTGAGGTGAGTTGTCCCAAAAACTATTTGGGCTCTGCAGCCTGTTAGTCTCTCTGTGTTTCTGCTGCTTTAGTTCTTGGATTCAGATAATATTAGACACTAAAATACGTTTCCATTTTTCTTTCAGTTTGGCCTTCAATTCTCACGATTTTCTTTGTGTGAAAGTCTCAGTTCAAGAGTTTGTAGTTTGTTGTAAATATCTGCAGTTTTTGTGATTGTGTGTACCGAGCTGGTTTATCCTGATGCATGCTCAATATTCCAGGTAGAAAAATCTAACAAAGTTTAGTCATGTCCACTGGACAGATTCTTCTTGTTAAAATGTTTCATCAGGCTGGTTTATATTTCAAACAATGCCGTGACACAACTGTACTGTGATAAATGTCATGCATTTAATGAGCATAAATGTCAAATAATTCACTTTTTTTACGACTCTTATGGTTTTATTTGTTTGGTTTGCCATAGACCTCCTTAATGCATGGCTTACCTGGGCTGAGGCCTAGGGGCCTACAGCATTGGGAGCTATCATTGGGGGTCTACAGCATTGGGGGGTTCTATTATTGGGGGATATATAGCGTTTTGGTGGGGCCTATCGTTGGAGGGCCTATGGGGTTGGGGGCTATCATTGGGGGGCCTACAGCATGGGGGGAGCTATAATTGGAGTATCTACAGCATTGGGGACTATCACTGGGGGATCTACAGCATATGGGGGCTTTTCATTGGCGGTTATTGTTCTGAGGTCAGTGATGCTGTTCAACCGTTTTGTAACTTGTCAGGTTTTCTGTCAGTCACT